CTGGCTTAAATGCTTCAAAATTCTCATGGATCAAGCGCTATTTTCTACTAATTACTGTGGCCTTCCTTATTAACTAATTTGGTTTTCCTATTTCTAAAATGCAGGTGGTCTGAGGCATTCCAAGCTAATCGAAAAGCACCTTTTAACTGCAGTTATACCATTCATGCCTCTTGAGGGTTTACATTTAATTCTCTGTATAGAGAATGAGCTCCGCAGATCTAATCTTTTGGACGCTGCAGAATCTAAAGTCAGTGCTCATGTGTCTACAAGCAATGCCAAGGACCTTGACCCGTTTCACGATTTAGTCTCTCGGACTCCTGATTTTCTTTCCCTTGCTATCAATTTTGTGCTTGGTGAACTTGACTGGGACCCGTCGGATAGCCGGCTCTTTTCTGTATCCGGCTGCAAGCGAGTCCATGAGAAAATCCATTTCTTTCTGGAACAGATGCTCGACTCCGAAAACTACGGAAGGACTGAGCTATGACATATCTTGATTATCTGCTTCACACGGATCGCATATCTCTTTTTTGTTACCTCATCCATCTTGTGCTGCTTCGTTTATCCAATTAACTTTGTACATTTGTTTCGCCTCCTATATCTTTTAGATGAGGGATCTCTCTTTAATGTTATGATCTGGTTTGGCAAACTCTTGCAGCATATCTGTCTATTTTATTATTGTATCACCTACGACCAATGCTTAATGAGTCTTACTATTTTTTATCTAATATATATAGATTCCAATTCAACGAGCCGAGCTTTTAATAGGCTTGTGTCAACAATGCTTATACGGAGCATAAGACCATTGTGGTAATGAACTGGATCGATTCAAACTAATATTTCTTGAGAATAATTAACTACTAAGTCTGATTGGAATAATAATTAAATTAATAGATAATATTCTTTGAATAGTTAATACATTCGTGTATTCTCTCTGGAAAGATTGGCGAACTAGTAAGGAAGTGAAGAATAAAAACGATTTTCAGGAAAACTACGACATTCTTCAGTTAAGCCTACTATTAGAAAGAAAGTTGATCCATTATATAGATCGAATTGCTATAAAATAAGAATAGAAACTGGTTTCGATGAATTTTCTGAGATAAAATTATGGGGGGACTTTCATTTTCTACGAAAGTGAATGAAAAAGAGATTCGTAGGCCGATTCACTAGAAGAGGACAGATGAATCCCGTTGTAATGCCGCCGTTTGCCTTTTATACAACATTCAGGTTGACGCAGCCCACGAGACCTACGTTTCGGGTGAAAATGGGCTGAGCTTTCGTCCATCACTTCATGGACATCATCAGAGCTTGGTCTCATTCCTGTAAAAGTCTCATGTTAACACTAGGGCAAGAAGACTATCCGGCTCTATCTAACCTCTTATATGGACTCAATTATTCCAAAAGAAAATAAAAAACCTAGATTAGGGTGGTTTGGCTAATTATCTTTCATATTGGTCCTGCTACTTTTGCTCTAGTGTTTGTGTGTGTGTATTAGCGCCTATACGCAATACCGGTCATAAATCAGAGTTATCAAAAGGCTTTTCAGGCTCTGATCATCAAGGCCTAATGACCCAAGAGAAAGCCCTACCTGAGACGGCATAAGTCCGTAAGTAAGTATGGTTAAGATAATGAGGTATGAGATTGTAAGAATGTAAGTCAAGTTACGAAACCACTTGTCCTTACCTTTCAGTCTTGGATCATTAACGTCTAACCCTCAAGTAAAGTCAAGACTCGGGCTTCACTTACACTTGTCCAACCTGTTAGATTGAGCACACCAACCAAACCAGACATGCCAGATTACGCAGCCCAAGTCATGCCTTTCCTTAGTGCGTTAAACTTTAATGACCCTAGACTGCGTAGTTAGGACCAGTGGTTTCATAATTTGATTTTCATGCTTACAAGCTCATATTTCATTATCTCAACCATACTTGTTTAGGGACCTACGCATTCTCAGTCAAGGCTTTCTCTTGGGTCATTAAGTCTTGAGGATCAGAACCTGAGATTAAACCTTTGACAACTCTGATTTAGGAACCGTATTACATATAAACGCTAACACGCACACATACCCATACACTCGAGCAAAAGTAGCAGGATCAGTATGAAAGATAATTAGCCAAACCACTATAATCTAGGTTTTTTATTTTCTTTTGGCTTGATTGAGTTCATATAGGAGTTAAGATAGAGCCGGATAGTCTTTTTGCCCTAATGTTAACGTGAGGCTTTTGCAGGAATGAGACCCAGCTCAGATGATGTCCATCAGGTGATGGACGAAAGCTTAGCCCGTTTTCACTCGAAACGAAGGAGGAAGTTCCGTGGACTGCGTCAACCTGAATGTTGTATAAAAGTCAAACGGCTGCATCCGTCCTCTTCTGGTGAGATCGACCTACGAATCTCTTCATTCATTTTCGTATGAAATGAAAGTCCCTCTAACAATGATATAAAATAATTCGCTCATGTGGTCACTTAATTCTACCGACTTGTTCCATTAGAAGAAGGGCGGATGAGCACAAAAGCCCCCGTAGAGGCTGTTGGTTTCCGAAAATCAGAGCTAGCTGAGCACATGGCAGAAATTAGACAAGATTAAATGATCTTAAACTTCGATTTACTGGTTATAGTGTCGTTGTTAAACGTAAAATTAGTGAAGCCATCGAAGTAAACCTAATAGGGAATACTGGCAACGAAACTGCTTAATAGATTCAAGGATAGAAGGTGTTGAACCGCTTAAAAAAAGAAGGCGACTCAAGTAGTCTTGTCTTGGTTCTATCCGCGGTCACTTTTTAGCCAACCTATTATCTCTCACGTTAGGGCAAAAAGCTCATCAACATAACTATACGTATGCCGACCTTGCACAATCGGTGTAATAGTTAATATATGTATATAGAAGGAGAATGCGATGGTGGTCTACAAACCTCTATGTCTAAGAGCAGGAGTTACCGTTTCTATTTTAATTACTTTGAGCCATCACTGCTGGCTTCGTACATATACGAACACATACACGGACAGACACACTCACATGCTTCGAGGTTGGCATGATTGGAACTAGCCGAATCACTTTATAATTTATAAAAGAGCTCGGATATATAGTAGATAGACAGCATCTTACGGGTGAACCGGTAAGTTTTCTTGATTCGTTAGCTTGAATATGATTGTGAAGATGATACCCTGCTCTGATGGTGTCCGTCATACGACGGACGAAAGCTTTGCGCGTTTTCGCAGGAATCAAAGTAGGTTACCTCGGAAACAGCGTTAACGAAAATGTTCCATTAAAGCCAGTCGACAGCTGCTCAAGAGGAATCCGCCGTCATATTCTGGTGGGATCGACCTCCGAATCTCTTTTCTAAACATTTTCATTTTAAATAGAAGTAAGTTCAACAATTATGAAATAAGGGAGTTCTCAAAACCCAAATTTTCTTCGTATCCATTATGCCAATTTAAGTAGAAAGGTTTAATTGTAAAGTCTGTACACTGCTATCCATCTGTACATGATGTCCATGTATC